GTTTCATCTCTATCATCAACTTTTTATTTTCCAACTACCAATCCTTTCGCTTTGTTTCTCACTTTCACATTTCAATCACCAGTAATCATCAATGCATCTTGACTGCATGTTTGATCAACTTCAGACTGAAAAAGTTGGTAGAATTCTTTCATTTCATCTCATTGGCATAAATTGACTGGTGCATAAATTTGAATTAATAGTGGTATTAACTGGTCTTCCTTGCAGGTGTAGAGTTATTATCCTATCACAGACAGCACTACACTTCAAGACAGATCTTGAAATGTTCTTTTTTTACGATGGCTATAATGCTATTCCTCTTGAATCTGCTGTTCCAGTATAGTAAACCATATGATTATCTGATTCAAAATGGCCAATACCTATCTATTTCAGTTCACTAAATGCCTAGAATATTGATCTTTAAGTGTTCCATTTAATTTTCGACAACTCCCAATTTTCCTAGGTTCATACTTCATATATTATGTGTTCTGATTATTAATGGATGTTTGTAGCTGTTTCTCAATTTGAGTTGTGTCCCATCGGCAAATGAAGTCCCCAATGCTTTGCTTCATCCATGTCATTAAGGTCAACTCTTCTTTGAGGAAAAAGCTCTTCTCCAGTCATGTTTTGAGTGCCTTTAAACTTGAGAGGTTCCCCTTTTGGCACTGTATCACACAGTGCTCCACTGCTCCTCACACGGCTTTCAGTGGCTAACATTCAGAAATGGTCTGCCTCTCCTTCTCCCTGGTCTTAATCTATAAGCTCAGCTGAAACCGGTCCACTATGGTTGGCCCTGCTGGTATTGAACACACTGGTGCCATAGCTGCCAGCACTGCAGCAGCCCACAAACCATTACAGTATGACAAACTGACAGACAAGTGGTAGAGGTTAGGCTGAGCCATGTGAAACTGTATTTTTTTTATGGATGTAAAAACAATTTTAAATCGGCCGTTATCATATGGTTCAACCAATGAAGTCTTTCTCTCCTCCAGCTCCAATCTCTGTAGGTGGTAGGCAACCACCACCTTCTTTCTGATGGGGTGTCCTCAAGAGGGCGGCTGCCTCTGTGTCATCCCATTAAGTATAGTACCCCTCCAGAAATTTAGTGGGGGCTGCTATGCAATATGGAGTGGACATTCTTCTGCTGACACCCAACTAAAGATGACATTTTCCCTTGGATAATGTCACACAAAACAATTTTTAAATGACATTTCCTTATTTTGAGAGTACATGGATCAACAAGGAAAATATGGGCTGCTTAGCAGAATAATGAGATAATTAAAATTATTAATAACTCTACCATCCTGGTGTGGTATATAGAATACGCACTGTACTGCTCATTACAAGCTCGGAGGTTTAAACCCACCAGTCGTTCCTTGGAAACCCTATACATGGTCACTACAAGTTGGAACCAACTTGATGGCACTTCACAACAACAACAACAACTTCTAGAAATAAAGGCTTACAGCTCCTGGAAAAATTCCTTTTGGGTAACATTTCCCAGACTATCCCAAACTAAATCCACTGTTCTCAAGTTCATTTTGAATCAGAGCAACTGTGCAAGACAGTAGACCTGCCCCACAGGGTTTCAAAACCTCTAAGTCTTTCTGGAAGTGGACTGCCACCTCTTTCTCCGGCAGAGCAGCTGGTGGGTACAAATCATCAATCTGTTACTGTATGCTTTAACCACTGCACCACCAGCAGGGTGATTTCCCAGTTTATACCCAAACTCATTGCCAAGGAGCTGATTCCAACTCATAGCGACCCTATCTATAGGGTTTCCAAGATTGTAAATCGTTACGGGACCAGATTGCCTCATCTTTATCCACAGAGCAGCTGGTAGGTTTGAATTATTGACCTTCTGACTAGCAGCCTAACCCATAGTGCCACCAGGGCTGCCTTTCTCAGTATACATTGATAAGTGCCATTGAGTTAGTTACAACTCATAGCAACCCTGTATAGGGTTTTCAAGGAGCGGATGGTGGTCTTGAACCTCCAACCTTGTGATGAGCAGTCCATTACTTATCCTACTGCATCAAACCAGGTCTTCTTCATCAGATACAGATACGTGCTTTTAACAAAACTATTATTAATAGTTCATGGACATCTTTGTAAATGGTTTTGTTGTTTTTTTAAAACTGAGATCATTTATCCCATACCATTAAATAATTAATTAACTACTGGACTTTGCACAGTTGCCTAAAATTTCAGAACTATGCCTATTATAGGACTTCTGGTATGGCACTGTAGTATCAGCACTGAACTGTAAACCACAAGGTCGGTAGTTCAAATCCACCAGCTGCTCCTTGGAAATTCTACATAGGGTTGCTATTCATCAGAACTGACTCAATGGCACTTAACAACATCTCTATTGTTAAGCATTTAGGTTATTTGGAATTGTTTTGCCATTTAAAACACCCAGGAAGCTAATGCCAGCAATGTAAATCTCAAGCGTGTCTCACGTTTCCTTCCTGGAGATACATTCTGAGGGCTGCATTTGGGCTTTGAACCACTGTAACTCACTTGTCCTCTGGTAGAAACAGGCCTCCGAGGCCCCCGTCCTTTTCCTCGGCTGGACATCCGACAGACCCCTCCTCCAGGCTCCGGGTGCTCTCCACCGGGCTGTCCATGTCGGACTCCTGAGGGCCCTCGGGTGGGGCCAGCGCCATCACCTCCTCCTCATCATCGTCAGGAAAGAAGCCGGGCTCTCTGGAGATGAACTCGCCATCAGTAAAAGTAGGGTCTGGGACCTTGCTGCCCTGGGAAACACAGGGGAACAGAATGAGCAAAGCCAGTTCACCGGGGTGCAGACTCTTTCATCAGACACAAGAGGGTCATCAGGGGCTGGGTGGAAGGAGGCCCAAGCCTCGAGACCAAGATTAAGAATTCTTGGAGAGATGGGGACATGGAGAGAGGGAGCAGCTGAGGACCTTAGATTCATGGAAAAAGAGGGACTGAGGGCTGGTGGTCAGGAGGCAGACTTGCAGAATGTGCCCTTTGGTGGTATGAATTATTATATATGCCTGAGTGCTTAAAAAAAATAAAAAGAACCAAAATGAATTCTCTCTATTCATATTTGGTATTTCTCTCTAATACTGTTAACTGATGGAACATGGAGGAGATTATAATTATTGTAATGAATGTAGAACTGATGATCTGCCCTGTAAACTTTCTCTCAATTCACAATAAAAACTTAAAAAAAAAAAAAAAAAAGAATGTCTAGAAATTCATTCCAGGGAGCACCTATCGCATTGGGGCAACTGATGAAAATCCAGAAAGAGCCAGGTCAGCCACATCACTGGAGCACCTGGTCAGGACCCTAGTAGATCAATCACAAAGATTGCAGACGAAGCCAAATGACTACAAGAAGGCTTCTCTGTGATCTGAGAGTTAGGACAAGCCACCTCAAACGACCTTTAAGAACACAGAGTTTGCTGCCATATGGTACATGGAAATCTCGACTGTCCTTGACTCCCGGAACAACAGGTAATCAGTCTGAACCTCAGTTTTCTCCTATGTAAACCAGGAATGGCCAAGGAATCTTAGAGGAGCACTGTGTCTATGGAATACAGCATTTTATACACATACCTGGCCCACAATGGAACCTTCGTGCCAGCCTGAGGGCAAGAACAATAGGTGCTTAACTTCAGAACCTGCAACTAGATGTTTTCTTGTTGGGTCTCCAGCGCCTGGCACACTGCCAGGCACAATGCTGGCGTGCTCAATACACACTCGCCTGAAAGTCACCTTGCGGCAGAAAAGTTCTAGCTTTCTTCTAGTCCGGAGAGCGTGCCTTTGCAAACTATTTCTGGGGCTGGTTTGCCTCTGAGAACAGGGTACCTTCCAGGCCACAACGACTATCTGAGCCCTCAATATTCTCTGGTGTGCTCCTGGCTGGACTGGTTGTTGTTGTTGTTGTTAAGTGCCATCGAGTCGGGTCCGACCCATAGCGACCCTGTACAGGGTTTCCGAGGGTGTAAATCTTTACGGGAGTAGAAAGCCTCATCTTTCTCCCGCGGAGCAGCTGGTAGTTTCGAACCGCTGACCTTAAGGTTAGCAGCCCGATTCGTAACCACTACGCTACCAGAGCTCCTTTAAGGACCTCCAAAGATACGTCCCTCTCACCCCTTAAGACTTTGAGAAGAATAACAGGAATAAGGGCTTTGCAAGAAAGAATTAGGCACATTCCAGGGAGCTGATAATCTTATGGGAGTGGGTGACAAGCTTGGATGTGCTGCCCAGACGTGTGTGGCCACCCACACGTGCCATTGGTGAACAGGCAGCCCTTCTGGGGGCCTATTCCACTGGGAGATCCTTGGGCTAAGAATACATGGTGAATAATACTTGGATCCACCTGTGCCACAATGCCAGCTTAGCACCAGATGGACCAATAAAATGGGTATCAGATAGCCAGACACCTCTGAGTATGGAGGGCAAAGGGCTGTGTAATTAAACCACCCCTAGTGTTTACAGCAGTCAGGAAATCAGACGACCTATTGCATTAGGCAAATCTGCTGCACCAGACCTTTTTAAAGTGTTGAAGAGCAAAGACGTCAGCTTGAGGACTAATGTGCGCCTGACCCAAGCCATGGTATTTTCAATAACCTCATATGGATGCAAAAGCTGAACAGTGAATAAGGAAGACCATAGAAGAATTGATGCATTTGAGTTATGGTGTTAGAGGAGAATATTGAAAGTGCCATGGACTACCAAAAGAACCAACAGATCCGTTTTGGAAGAAGAGCAGCTAGAGTGCTCCTTGGAGGCCAGGATGCCCAAACTTCGTCTCTCATACTTCAAATGTATTGTAAGGAGGGACCAAGTTACTGGAGAAGGATATCATGTTTGGTAAGGTGGAGGGAGGGTCAGAGAAAAAGAGGAAGACCCCCACTGACATGGATTGGCCAAGTGGCAGCATCAATGGGCTCAAGTGTGGCAACGATTGTGAGGTTGGCTTAGGACCGGGCAGGGTTTCATTCTGTTGTGCATAGGGTCACTATAAGTTGGTACCGACTCGATGGCATGACACCTAACAACAACAAAAGTGTTTACAGGGTGCTTTCCAACCAGATGCCACTTAGCCAGTCCCACATGGCTCTTAACCTATCATAAAGTGTGTCCTAACCAAGCTCATGGGAGTCTTGGTGTGGCATTATAGGACAAGCACTGGTTCAAAGTAACTAACCGCTCCTTGGAAACCGTGTACCAAGGTCACTATGAGTCAGAATCGAGTCGACAACACTTAATAACAATCACCACCAAGCTTAGGAGTCCTAGTGTGGTGCTGTAGGATAAGCACTGGACTGCTAACCACAAAGTTGGAGATTCAAACCCACTAAGTGCTCCTCAGACATCCTATACAGAGCCCCTATTTGCCTATGAGTCAGAACCAACTCAACAGCACCACTTAACAACCACCAAGCTTATAGTCACATCCTGATACAAACCAAACGAAACCAGTATTTATGGAGACTAAATTATGAGTTAATGAGCTATCTCATTTATGCTTCCTGGCAACTCTTCAAGAGCACTACTGTTAGCCCATTTAACAGTGGGGAAATGGAGGCTCAGAAAGTGGCCCCTAGCCAGAAGTCTTCAAGCTAAGGACTCTGCCTGCCTCCGGCTGCCACGTGCTTGGTTCCACTTATCACTGAATCCACATTTCACGGATTGTGAAAACTCCCAGGGACGATGATCAGGATGGTGAATTTCATAAAGAGGGATTATGAAGCCCAGGGACTCTAAATACCTACCACCCACTTCCCACCCCTGGCAGGAAACTCAGTTAGTACATGTGACACTGAGGAGAAGCAAGGCGCGAGAGCCTCTGAGGAGAACCGAAGCCCCAAGGGGCAGCGGCACACAGAGTGCACACACGCCTTCACCTGCCTACCTTCTACCTTCCACATCCCACGGGGGGGGGGGAGGTTGGAGGGGAGTTCACACTCACTAGGTGTGCTTGCTTTATGACTTTCATGAGGGTGCCACCATTATGCAAGGGGGACTTTCTTTTGATCTGTCATAGCCCTAAGAGCTGACTCTCCCGTCTTCCATTCTGTAGTTGATGACTTGCCTTGGGCCATGTGGGAGTCAGTGGCAGGGCTAGGACTGAAAGCTGAAGGACGGTGTGTTCCCAAGCCCCCACACTCTGCCCAGCACTGTGTCAGCTGGACCTGTTCCCAGAGGGCAGAGACTGGCCCCCGTGCTCCTCAGGAGCCCAGCTTGGCCTTTGGTGAACTCATGCTTAACTAACTGGACTCCAAGACACACAAGGCTGTGCTTCTGCTGTGTACTCTGCCTCACCAAGACACCCGACTCACGGGGTACAGGTACCTGCTGTCACCCCCACCTTCCACAGCAACAAACTGTGCTCCTGAGCTGGGGTGAACAGAGTGGCCCTGTGTGGCTTGTCTCAGTCACAGACAGGACAATAGGAAGAGTCACATGTCCTCAAGCATCCCTCCCTCCCCCCAGCTCTCTGCCCCGCAACAAGACGCCTAAGTCCCTCCCCTCACAGACAGGTTATTAGCCTTTTACTGAGTGGAGTCCACTTCTGCTTGGGTTTCTCTCATTTTATAAAGTATCAGCTATCTCTCTCTATAACACATACCTCACCCATTCCTCACAACAGTCATGTGAGAGAGAGCCCCAGGGAATGTACAAGACAAAGATTAAGGTATCACCGCTTCCGTCTGACACGTGAGGAAGATGGGGCTCAGAGCAGAGGGAGGCTGCCCTAGGACTTCCTGTGCCCCCTAGGAGGGTCCTGTTGAGATTTAAAGCCAGGATGCCAAGTCCTGGCCCCTTAGCCAACACAAACACACACACACACACACCACCTCAACTCTTCCTCTTAAAATAGGTTGCTCCCTACAGTAACATCTTTTCATTCAACCACAATTACTCGCCTAAAGCTAGTGGAACCTTCAAAACCATTTCTGTTTTCCCCTAAATTCAAATATTACATTGTTGCTGTTAACTGCCGTAGAGTTGGTTCTGATTCATAGTGACCCTGTATAAGGTTTCCAAAGAGCAGCTGATGAGTTTGAAGCACTGATCTTATAAAAACAGCTGTAAGAAAAGTAAACATACATCTTGGTTTGTCCAGGATGGTACAGATTTTTGCCTGTCCTGAGGACCCATCTGGTTTGGCATTTGTCCTGGACAAAGTACCTGTGGTCACCCTAACTATCCCCAAGGGCCTACTCCCTGGCCCCACTTCTCATTCCCCAGGGCCCTCTAGGTGGAAGGGTCTGGGCCCAGGAGGGTGAGGAGGGGCAGCAGATCCCATTCCCAAACACCTCAGGGAGGGAGGGAGGGAGGGCCAGAGCAGCCTCTCGGAGGCAACCTGTCATCTTCACCTGGAGCTAGGCAGCTCCTACTCACTGCCTGGGAGAACTTTCCAGTCACATTAGAAACACGGCGGAGCCTGTCTGTCTCCTTTCTGTTCTTTGGATACAGGTGCAGAGGGGAACGGAGAACATGTTGATATAAACTGATCGACCTCACGGAGTTTACAGCTAAGAAGCCTCCACACATGCTTGTTCCTGACAGTATGTGGCTTTCAAAGGCTGTGAGTTAGTCTAGGCGTCTGGGCCAGGCTAGGGCCCACATGAAGCCCCTTGTTGTGTACAATTCCAAGAGGAGAGATGTTTGGGGAATGCAGAGAACCTAAAGCTTCATCTGTTGGGGGTGGGGAGGCAAATTCTACTGCTGTGTCAAGATTTCAGTTGAGTTGCAGACAAACCCAAGGCTGACC